TGTTATTTGGCCAGTGTTTGGTTTGTGGCTACTTTATAAACATGGCATTTCAACATGGTGGCCCACGTGGAAGAGGACATGCTCCCCCTTGTAGATAAATATAGCTCATTCTAAGGTAATGAAAACTAAAGGTTACACAGTAGACCTTTAATACTTCAACTCTTTTTCCCTCGATTGTACGACATCTATGGTGTCTGTTCCTCTATGAATTTCATTTTCACCTTCTTTTCTCTCTTTTCTCTGTTACTCAGCTGGCCTATCTTGGATAAACACTGGTATGTGGCCTTGGTATATTTTTCCTTTTTGTTGTGTGTCAATTGCATACACAGCATCGAGGTTTCCTCCCTTTGAAGGTCACTAACATCTCATGAGGTTTTAACAAATAAGCAACATAAGTGTAGAATATAATGACATAACAAACATTTCTTATACCATTAAAACACTATGCATTAACAAGTGAATGTTTAATTTTTGGATCAAAGTTCTGTTTCAGTTTACAATAATTTCAATTTTTAACTTACATATATACCAAATAAAAAAAACCCTGATTATCACATAATTTTTCTGCTTCTGATGCTTCATCTCTGCAGGTTTACTGGTTCCCATACTGGTGGGCTCTGCACTGGGACTTGCTCTCATTGTCACTTTAATATGTTGTCTATTGAGGCAGAAAAGGTAAGCAAAGGGGGAAAAACACAAAGCAAGACCAGATCATGCCTGTTGAAATCATGTTCTGCCCGTGATACAGCTCTGGTTAACTTTGTAATTTCAGAGGGATCATTGAAGTCAATTTGCATACAGACACAGACACACCCCCCCCACACACACACCCACATAAATATAAACTGGATAATTTGCGGAGGGTATTTCAAGAAAATGGTTAACCTTAACTGACCCCATCATCTGGGGTCAGTGTTTTTTTAAAGAATCAAAGACTTTATAGGGCCTGTGTCCTCATTAGTTGGGAGTTTTGGGAACGTAGACTCACTTTTGCCGCTCTTAGTCACCCTTGACAGTTTGACGTTGAAATTATGAGCCTATTTTGTATAATTGTGGTTTTCCATAAAAAAACTAGTATACTTTCTTGGAATTGCATTACTGTCTGAGATTTTCTGTGGTAGATGTATGGTAGAGAGAGAGAGAAAGAGGGAGGGTCAAGAGCAGTAAAATTAGAATTAAAGAAAATTTAAATTTAGGATAATCTAATTGCAGAAATGGAATATAATATTCATAGGCATGTTTCCATTAGTTTATAATCACCTGAAAATAAGAATTGTTATGTTTTAATCGCCTTAGAATTAGCCATTTATATCTACTGAGGGAGCCGGTTATCTTTTACGGAGTCCAACATGTTAAACTACCGCGTTTGGGTAGTGGGTAGCCCAGAATGGACAAATCAAAATCTGGCTGTAGATATGGCCTTTCGCGTTTTCTTGTAAATGGTCACAATCTGCAACTTCACTGCTTGATGCCACTAAATCCTACACTCTGGACTTTTAAGAAATACTTGGCTAATCTTTACATGTGAAATCTGAAAGTAATAATATTATATTTTAAAGAGATTGCCTCACTAAAAAATTAAACAGCAGCCTTTTATTTTCTTTCATAGTCTCCAGAATTAAAACCATCAGGCAGATTTCAAACAGATTACTTTATGTTGCGATTTTAATGATGAAATGCCCAGATCTCATACATGTTAAATACATCCGCTAGAATATGAATACATCACAAGTCCTCCTACTTTTGAAAATATATCTGAGAAAAAGGAAATACATCTTTGAGATGAAATATGTAAATGAGAGGCACTCCAGTGCTAAAATGTGCTTTGAAGCTGCCTCCTCATCTGTAGTTATCACTTCTCCTCTTCCATTTCTTCATGCTAATGATGCACAGTCTGCTTATGGAGGTGTAAGGCTAAGTGGCAGTCTTATCACAGATGGGTTGGTAGCAAGCTTCCTGCATTAAACAGTGTCAAATGTTCCTCCTATCTTCAAATGTTCCTTCTCTGTCTCTTTCTTCCAGCTTCCAAAATAATTACTGTATGTTTCCTTGCACCAAAAAAAATCAGCAGCAACAATTATCTGTTTGTACACGACTGGCCTCTTGAGTAAAGGGAAATTGGGCAACTATAGTGAAAAACATGGATACATTCCAAGGTGTGGGGGAAAATGATAACCCTCATTTTTAATTTCTTGCTCATATATCATGGACCTAAATAACAAGTTTTCTTGATTGCAAAACAAAACGTAGCAAGAAATAATTTATGGCCTTGAAATAAATCTACAGCTTGGTGGAAAACACTTCATTTAAAAACGAAAATTGGACATTTTTAGGGATATAATCAAATTCTGAATGCATTGTGCTCCTTTTATTCCTTAGAGTTGGTTCTCAACAGGACAAAAGCAAAGGTGTTGGATGCAACATTGGAGAGAGAGACGAGTACGGCTCAAGAGTATAGCTCATCGTTCTGGACCTCACTTCAAAGGAAACTTCAACAAGACCACAAGACCGTTGCCCTTTTGCATCACTCACTCTGTATTTGTGAAACTCTCCTGGACATTTGTGAAAGCATGAAAGGTTTAAGTAGATCACATAATAATGTTTGCATGCAGCTCTGGGAAGCACTCTGTTTTTTCTTAAACCACAGTCTGGACGTCCTTTGCTGTGTTGTGGTAGGCAGAACATGGTAGGCCTCCGTGCTGGACGTTTAAAGGGGTGTTTAATGCTGTATGACTACTTCCTTAGAGCAAGAGGAGCAGCTGTCCTCTCTAATCCCCTTTTATTTATCTGACATGATGTGGTGAGTTTCTTAAGGAGACCTCCACGCAAAAGCTTCAAGGCAAACACAGTAAGGCCTGAGCTGAACTGGTGAGAGTCTCAGGTCAAGTCCAGCCATGGCACCCATTCCCTTGGGCTGTCCTGCCGTGGAGGAAAGCCCAACCACAGTCCAAACAATAGGGGGACAGGAGTTGACAGGCATCCTTGATGCTAGCGTGGCCTGAGAGGGATGGGCTATACCACATTTCCACCAAGCCTGTACTTAGGGTTGCTCTATGGATTTTATAATAAAAGGGCGCTTAGCTTTCTACAAACACAGAAGCACACAGTCCCTTCCCTGTGAATAATGCTGAGAAAAAAAAGGCTTTTGTGCTATCCGGCTGCACGTGGGCTGACCCCTAACCCCTGTCCGCCAGTCGGATCACAAGACTAACTCCCCAGCACTCCAGAGAGCCTTCTCAGTTAGACTGTAGCCTGCTTGTACAGTTATCCACAGGAGAAGATGTATGTCATTATCTTGACAGGGTTTTACCTTGGCCACTATATCATCTCTTCTACCTTTATTATATTCGGATCATTTTAGATGCTTCGAAATTTATGTTAGGTGTACAGTAAAGTATTTGCATGCTTGTGGAATAGAAGGTGACAGTTTTACTGTAATATCAACCTTTCGATACTTTAGACTGATTGAACAAGTTATCTAAAATGAGAAGATGACGTGGTAAAGAGAAGCACAGGACTGTTCCTCCACAATAAAGTGTTATGGCCGTGTACACCACATCTTCCATGACATTTATCAGTCCTCCAACATATAATTTTGCCCATTCATTGCTGCTTGTGGCCTCCTTAAACTGTTGATATCCTGTTGCCATACTGTAAAACAATGTGCCACTCCACTGTTTTGTAAGTTTTATTTGTACAATAGTTTTCGTTACAGTTGTTACTTTGTGTATAATGAGGGTGTTTTCATGTTAGGTATGATTGCTCCATACCGTGCCTGAGTACGACATTACATTTCACATTAGAAATGTTGCTCTGTACCTGAGTACATCTGCGGCATCATCTACGTGACATTTGTTCATGTTGTTTCTACAGTGTAGAAAAGCCCGCCAATCATAAGATCCCAAGCCTATATGCTATTCATATTTATATTTATTTATTATTAATATTTTGTTAAGATTGACCCTCTTGCCTACCTTGCTACTTTATCAGCCATATTGTGCACATTCGTGTTTTTGATGAATGAATGAATGTTGAGTTAAAAGTCAAGTATAATCGGATCCGGTCCAGGTCCCTGTTGTTGAAAGCCTTTAAGTGTAAATAACTGCTGTGTCAGAATAAAAAAGTTGAACTGTTTTGGCTATGTGTTTTTAATTAAAATGTCCTATTTATTACATTTTATGATCATCAATGTCAAGTCCCAGTCTCAAATCAGGCAGTAGTGGCCAACAGTCATATTTTGACCAATAAGACCTATTTTAAACCTTGATTACGTAATTAAAAAAAACCCAAATAAAAATTATTTTACATGATTTCACCAATTCTATCTGTTGAAAAGCATAAAAAAATGCCCACTGGTGACACAGTTCATCTGCCCTTCCTGACCCCTTACAGTTAAAACATCACACATTCATAATGCTACCAGTTGTTGAGCAGCACTACCATCTAGCGGCTGCTCTCTTTAACTACAAAAACAATACGTTTTACTTCCGGGTTTCCTGCCGTCGTTTCCCGTAGATTTCCGTGGTTTTGACGTGTAAAAAGTCTGCAGGTGTTTTGTGTAGTTTTCATGAATGATGTCTCAGCAGCCTGTGCTGAAGAACAGGCGCACTCTCCTCGAGAGAGCAGAGAAGTTTATCTCTGAGATTTATTTCACAGACTGCAACCTGAGAGGACGGTAAGGCTGCTTTCATACAACTGCACTAAAACTAACTTAACTGAACGGTGGTAGTACAGTGGAGCAAACATGTACCTGTAGGACATCAGTCTGAAATAAATAAATAAATAAAACAAAACAGCTGTGAATCTCTGTAATATCTACAGGGAGTTTGTCTTTTGCATGCATTTCTTTGTAGGAGAAAATGCATTAAGGTCTATTCTGTCCTAAACTATATAACCTCATATACTGCCACAAGGTGTCCACATTTACTCATCTGATCACATGCTCCATAGTTAATGTGTATGTATTTGCAAACTGAACATTGTTCAGATCTGATCAGACCATCATTATGTTTTTTTTTAAGGGTTTCCTTATCTGAATTTAGTGTCTAAGGCAAATTTAATGTTTTTATTATTCTCTGCAGACTCTATGGAGACTCTTGCCCGCTGGAGTCCCTCGCCTCCTTCTTGTCCTCTAAGCGGATCACATTCAAGGAAGCATCCAAGCAGAACTTTGCACCTCATAAAGTGGGTGATACCTTTGGACCGACGTAAGTGCTATTATATTTTATCATCCTCAAATCTGTTAGATCTCAGATCTTGGAAATAACCCAACATTGATGCTTGTTGAAGGTGGTGGACTTGCTGGTTTGAAGTGACCGTGAACATCCCTGATTCTTGGAGGGGGAAAGAAGTTCACCTTCTGTGGGAAAGTGATGGAGAAGCAATGGTTTGGAGAGATGAGCAGCCAGTTCAGGTAATATAGCAGCCGTTTCGGACTAGATTAAAGTGCCAAAATCTATGCTAAACCAATGACTAGATTGAGGACATGTAACGTGTGGATTTGTAGGGCCTGACTAAAGAGGGTGAAAAGACGAGTTACATCTTATCTGACTGTTTGAAAGATGAGGAGCCACACAGGTCAGATACATAAATTATGAGTTCATTACAAATTCTGTAACCAACTTCACTTACTGAGCTTTTGGGCGTCTCTCAACTAAAATGTTCTTATTTTCTCTTGTTCTTTAGCGTCACCCTTTATGTAGAGGTGGCTTGTAATGGGCTTTTTGGAGCTGGTCAAGGATCCATGATTGCAGCCCCAGATCCAAACAGGATGTTTACAGTACAGAAGGCCGAGCTGGTGGTATTTAACCAGGATGTACGGGAACTACTGACTGATTTTGAGATGCTGATTGACATTGTGAAGGTACAGCCACACAAAACATTGCTTTCCTTTTTAATTAAAAGGAAAATGTAAACTTCTGCTGTTTTTTTCTTCTCTTCCTTCCCAGGAGCTCGGAGAGGGAGAGCAACGAGGCTACCAGGCACTCTTCACTGTCAATGAGATGGTGAACCTGTGTGATCCCTGCGATCCTAGCTCTTTCTCCAAAGCACACAGTCTGGCTCACAACTTCTTTAGCCAGCGGAATGGAGAAAGCCAGCACACTACTCATGCGATGGGTCACTGCCACATAGACTCAGGTCTCAGTTTAATTTCTATTGTAGTATCGAAAACAGTGAAAACAAAGCTGAAGTTGAAGACCTGGTCAGATTTGTAGTCTTGTTTGCTTTTTATTAACGAGATATTTAGTGATTTAAATCACAGTTTTGCCAATAACAGTTTTAATTAGGCAGCATTCTTCTCTGGCTGCTTGTGTTCAATTTATTTTGTTAAAGGGATAGAGGTTTTATAGAAAAGCATATTTTTATTAGTCAAAGTATGGAAATCATTTTGGTATTGGCACTGTATCTCGGTTATCATGTAATTAATAGTGGTAAAAAGATACAAAAAAAAATATTCTCCGCCCTATTTTTGAAGTAGAGAACTAAAAGAAATATATTACAATTTCTGTCAAATGACTCTGAATATTTATGACTCCCTATCTGCAGCATGGCTGTGGCCCTATGAAGAGACCATTCGTAAATGTGGCCGAAGCTGGGTGACGGTGGTCCGTTTAATGGAGAAGAACCCAGAGTTTGTTTTTACTTGCTCTCAGGTAATTCCCCACTAATACAGTTTCACATGAGACGCGAACCTTCTGCAAATCTGAGCAGTCCTCTTCAGTTTTGACCTTTTCTTTTGCTTTTTGTCCAGGCCCAGCAGTTCCAGTGGGTAAAGAGCTGGTACCCGGGACTCTTCTCCCAGATTCAGCATTACGTCAAGAAAGGCCAGTTCCTTCCAGTTGGAGGAGCGTGGGTGGAAATGGTGAACTTATAAATTATTCATAGCTTATGAATTTAATGCTGCCTTTCAGTCAGTTTTATGACCATGGTATTCTAACTTAAGATGTACTAATAACATGTTTGCCTGTCAGGATGGCAATCTGCCCTCAGGTGAGTCCATGGTCCGGCAGTTCCTGGAAGGTCAGCGCTTCTTTAACCATGAGTTCGGGATCCATTGCAAAGAGGTACGGATTCCTAAAAAATGTCTACATAAACAGAGTTGACCTTGAGTGGCCACTTTGTCACCACATATGCATAATATAAGAATGTTTTCTTTAGTTCTGGCTTCCAGATACGTTTGGCTACTCAGCCCAACTTCCGCAAATAATGCAGGGCTGCGGCATTTCCAATTTCTTGACACAGAAGCTTAGTTGGAACCTGGTCAACACCTTCCCGGTAAGTAATGTACCGCACAAGGTTAAAAAAACAACTTCCACTAGAAACAAATTTTCAGTTTTAATTTATCTTTCCCAAAGCACAACACATTTTTCTGGGAAGGTCTGGATGGCGCCAAGGTTTTAACACACTTCCCACCTGGAAATTCCTATGAAATGAAGGGCAAGGTTGAGGATGTGAGTTTGGTTTATAGTGCACACTACATGGTGAATGTTGAGTCTAAGAACATTTACAATTCTCACAAAACTTTTCTCTGCCCACAGCTCGTAAAAACTGTGAAGAATAACAAAGATAAAGGCAGAGCCAATCACAGTGCTGTGTTGTTTGGTTTTGGAGACGGTGGGGGTGGACCAACACAGCTGATGCTTGACCGACTGCACCGAGTCCGGGATACAGACGGACTTCCCAAGTTAGTTTCTGTCCCACACTTTAACAGTCATGAGTAACCACTAAGCCCAAAGCCCAGACTGAGGCGGAAACTCTTAAATCATTAGTTATTCACTTCCGGCCAGCACTGTGGGATTTCTTTCATGCTTTAGGAATTAAGGTGTGTCAGCAGCACGTAAACTGTAGTCCACTTCAACCCTGTTAAATACAAAAGGATATGAGTGATATATACTGATGTCACTACTGTGTTTTTTAACAATACTAGTCATTACAAAAATGTTTTAGTCAGAATGAATAACAAAGGTGTAACCAGAGACGTCATTCGTTACTACCATCTCCAAATACTGTGTGTTTCATAGGGTCCAGATGTCCAGTCCTGACAGGCTTTTCTCTGAGCTTCAGGCTGACTCAGCTCTGCTTTGTACTTGGACCGGAGAGCTCTTCCTGGAACTGCACAATGGCACCTACACCACCCAGGCGCAGGTACAATAATAATCTCTTCAGAGTCTAATATAAAAGGAAATTCAACTTTACAATAACAAAACTAATACGATTTCTCTGGGAGTAAAGAAAAATCTAAGCAAATAGGATAGAAAATAAGAAAAAACAGTATGCAGTATGAAATTATAAAATATATAAATGCATACTTTTAAGGGTTTAATATTCACTGGTGTTGCACTCAGGTAGACTGTGTGGGAAGTTATATATTTCTAAAAATGTTTTCTACAGGTACAGAAATCATATATGCAGGGAGTAGGGATAACTACTGGTAATACCCCACAAAATAATACAATCCCATCCAATGCCACAAAATAACCACAAATGTGAGGAAAGCATTATACTTAAAAAATAAGAAAAGAAAAGAAAATAGACATATCTAAAGTATAAACCACTCCAACTGAATGAAGGATAAAAGTGCTACAAACTACTAATGTGTTAAAACAATTTAAAATGTTTGAAAAAGTTATTTTCATGCTTTCTTTGTTGTTTCCAGATTAAACGAGGAAACCGTCAGTGCGAGACACTGCTTCATGACATTGAGATAGCCAGCAGCTTGGCGCTGTGGCAGGATGAAACTTTTCAGTATCCTGTGGAGAAACTGCAAGAGCTTTGGAGGTCAAGGCACACTTTTTTATAGTTTCATGATGAGAACAAATAAATCAATGGCTTCTATTGTCAGAGTATGAAATGTATGTCTTTGATATCCCTCACAGACTTCTTCTTCTAAACCAGTTCCATGACGTGATTCCCGGCAGCTGCATTGAGATGGTTGTGGAGGATGCACTCCGGTATTATGAAGGTACAGTTTTAAGTAGCTGTCCATTATAATCAGAGCCATATTGATCTGTTGTTTTCCAAAGCAAAAAGTACATCACACTGTTTTTAGATATCCGCAGTGATGGTTCTACACTGCTGCATAATGCCTGTGGAGCCTTGGGGTCAAAGGGCAATTCTGCTGGTGTGTTCAACTCTCTGCCATGGGAGCGCCATGAAGTCATCCAGATTCAAGATGGTGCTGGTAAACCTGATCTGGGTATGTTGATACTTATGTACACAGATAGGTGACGCATTAAAGGAAAAACCTGAATGAGTGGCGAAACATGAGGAATACAGTTTCGTACAGGACATGAAGGGTCATTGAATGGTTTGATGAGAATGAAAATGATGAGTGAATCGGTTGATTAATTGAACACCTATGGGAGGATGGAGATGGGTCCAGACAAGGAGGTTTGTGTTGGTTTTTCCCTTTAAACTGTCACCATTCTGTATATTTACAATATTTATGTTGCTTTCAAAATTACAACTGCATATCTGATGCTCTGTGGTATCCGTTGTTCTGCAGCTCTGGTGAGAGTTCCCAGCATCGGTTTGTCTCCTGTTAAGGACACACAGCCTGGGACTCAAGTCTCTGTCTCTATTCAAGTATGTGCTGTATAACACATTACTTGCCCTTTCCAGCTCTGAATAAGTTTCACTAAATCATCCCACAAATGCCAGTGATGACAGTACTTCCAGCTCAAATGTGGCTTTCGTGGGAGTGGGCTGTGGTTGTGTGCAGGGCAGGGTGATGACATAGTTCAATGGATAAACAAATAAAATAAATTTCCTGGTCCCGACAGAGCCGGCTCACAAAGTGGCAACAGCTATCTGCAATAGGCCAGTATTTTCCTAAAGGTCTGGGCGCAGCCAGAAGCAGATTAGCAGGTCCAACCCAGCTGACCTCTGCCAGAGCCCTAATACCCCCACAGTGCCATTGATGGTTATTTCTTATGTCTCCCCTCTCTCTTCTTTTCTCTATAATAATCTTTATTTATAGAGCACTTTTAAAATACATGTAACAAAGTGCTTCACAAAAAATACAATAAAACACGTCATGAAGTCATAACATTTTATAAGAAAGAAAATAAAAAACACTTAGAACAATAAGAACAGACCTAAAGAAATCACTGACTAATCTGATTTCCTTCCACTCTTGGCAACAGTAACGTCCTTGCATATTATTGTTTCCTTTTTTTTCTGGTTTTGTCTAGTTTTCTCATTTTTCCTCTGATTGAGTGTACACGTTATGTTGCTTATAAACCTTTTCCTCTTGCCTTTTTCTATGTTGTACATGTCTCTCCCCCTGTCTGTGTTTATGTACTGTCCCTTTGCACAAACAAACATGTACTATACATAGAGAGCATTTAACAAATTTAGCTATGATGCAATTTAATTTGGCTAATTGAGACGTTGTTTAACATTACAGGCCGATGGCACCATCCTCATGGAGAATGGGATTTTGCAGACTGTCATAAACAAAGATGGCACTTTGGCATCACTGTATTTGATGAGTGCAAACAGGTACTGTAGGACCACATATGACCACCTGTGTATTTTGTTTTACAGCATTAACATTAATAAAATAATGATCATCATTAAATATTAATCTGTCTCACCACTCTGATGGTTTCAGGGAAGCCATCTATGACAGCCGTTATGGGAATCAGTTTATCATGTTTGATGATGTCCCTCTGTACTGGGATGCTTGGGATGTGATGGACTACCATCTGCAGACGAGGTCTTTCGCCACCTTGATACTCTATTACACTATTTGCAGGCATTGTAGGTATGAATATCAAAAACCTAACAGCAGAAATGGCCTTATAGAAAGCCGGTGCTGGAGGTGGTGCAGCCTGTTCGTGTGGTGTCCTCAGGTGGGCTCCGAGGCAGTGTCAGCTTCACCCTCAGGATCAGTGATAAGAGCACGATCACCCAGGAGATTGTCATGGACGCCATGTGTCCTTACATCAAGTTCAACACAGAGGTACTTCATTCATTCACGATATCTCGAAAAATCTAAAGAATCACTAATCCAACAGTTGACAAACTCTTCAGTACCCAAGCAATATTAGGCGCATCCTCCAATTTCAGGTGAAGTGGGCAGAGTCTCACAAGTTTCTCAAGGTGGAATTCCCTGTGCGAGTTCACAGCCCCAGTGCTACATATGAAATCCAGTTTGGCCATCTGCAGAGACCCACGCACAGGAACACTTCATGGGACTGGGCTAGATTTGAGGTACGGCGCTGTACGAGTAATCTTAATGTACACTGATCTCCACAGGTATTTGGACAGCAGCAGGTTTTTGGTTTTGGCCTGTTTTGGTCCTGCATGCCTAAATTGTAGGATGGCCGATGTCAGTTATGCTACAATACTGTGTATTGCTTTTCATTACGATTTCCTTCTCAGGTTTGGGGTCACAAATGGGCCGATTTGTCAGAGCACAACTTTGGAGTTGCACTGCTGAATGACTGCAAATACGGCTATTCGGTCCACAAGAACACTATGACACTGTCTCTGTGAGGTTCCCCACTGTTCATATACAACAGTAAAACAAACAGTACAATTCAGTTACACTTACTTTAAATAATCCTTTCATCTAATAGTAGATGTCTTTGTCGTAGACTGAGAGCAACAAAGGCCCCAGATGCCAATGCTGACATGGGGACTCATCATTTCACCTATGCAGTCATGCCACACACAGGTAAGGATTTAATTGTTCTTCTAAATAATTTGTTCTCATTAATTTCAAAACTCTAAAACTTGGAATATAATGTTTTCCTGGGTTTTAATACAGGATCCTTCCAAGATGCCTCAGTCATCCAGTGCGCTTACAACCTCAACTTCCCTTTGAGGTCAATCCGGTGCACTCCTGACACGGTGCCCTGGAGTGCCTTTTCCATCAGTAGTTCTGCAGTCATCCTTGAGACCATTAAACAGGTATTCAGTTAAACCCTGTGCTTGACCTTGCTTTACTTAATCCACTTAGACAGTTAATGGCTATTTACTCTATTTACCATAACAGGCCGAGGACACGAAGGGTGCACTTGTAGTCCGGCTGTATGAGTCACATGGGAGCAGCGTGACAGCAACTCTCTGTACCACCCTTCCAGTTAGGGAAGCCTGGCCGTGAGTTTCTATTTTTTATTGTTTTAACTGCCATCTGGTAAATGTGTTGTATTGTTTCTAACAACAAAACCTTTTTGTCCCTTTCCCAGTTGTGACCTCTTGGAGAGACAAGACCCCACCCAGCCAGCACACATTACGTCAGAAGGAATCATTTTGAACTTCAACCCCTTTCAAATAGTGTCCCTTCTCCTCATTTTGTAATATATATGGCATTTCCTATCGTCAGGGTTGTCACAAATTGAATATTAATAAAATGCTTTGGGCCTAGAAACTAGTGAGAAACTAGATAAATCATCTGGTGCTGTTCTATTGTTGTTTTTCAGGAGACTTCAACTTTGATACGTTGCATCATCAATAAAAAGTTATAGAACTTTTGTAGAAACATGTTTTTATTTTAAAAACTTTAATTGTATAAAAACATAAAATGGTCCCATAAAGTGGTTTCCTGCCTTTTGGTTTCAATTGCTTTTCTGTCTGGTAACTCTCCCGCTCTGCCTCTGTGGACCTGCAACAAGGTTGACTGAGATTTAAATTCATCCAGTCCCCCCCCCCCCGGGNNNAAACTTAAACTTTATTTTGACTGAATGCCTTCATCTCACCTGGAGTTGTTGGCCCGGCACTGCTGCTTTTCCTCCTACGTGCAGTTAGTTTCTTTTCATGCTGTGCGTTTCCTTTTTGGGTCTTGGATTGGGACTCCTTCACACACACATCCTTGTTTTTCTTTGGTGTTTTGGTCATAGCTTCCTGTTTGACTTGTTTCTTTGTTGTGCTTGAAGAGCGACTTCGGGCCACCTAAAAAAAAAAAAAAAAAGTGTGTTCATGTATTTATGAAGCACGTTTTAAGGTTAGGTGCTTTTCAGATACTAAAAATATACTAAACAAAAATTTTAATCAGAAACCTATAATCATACAAAAATTAAGAATAAGATTAAAGTGCAAAATATTCATATAAAAAGTAAACTGATACTAAAACAAGCACAATTAAAATAAAATAAAGTTTGTGATGACCTAAAGCACCACAAAATAATGGGAAGGTAAAACATGTTAATTGTAGGCCATCTTGTAAAGGTGAGTCTTCGGGAAGCATTTAAAAGCGACAGGACCTCCTAGACTTCTGGCTGCTGAATTCTGGATTAATCGCAATTGTGAGACTGAGTGGGAGTTTAAGCAGGTCATAAGTGAGCGTGATGATATAAAAGCATATAAAAGGGCTGTTTCTGACTGTCGTTTTTAGTTTAGTTCATTGTCAAGTAGAAAAATTACTGTTTATACCTTTTTCTTGTCTGTGTAATCATGGTCATCTTCTTTCTTTGCCCTCTTTTTTGGCTTGGGTGACTTTGAATCTATTGTAAAAGAACAATCAAATCAGTCAGATGCATCAACTATTCTCAGATACATTTCTGCTTAAGTTTGCAGTGTCATGTATTCAAAGTATTAAGTACCTTTAGGCACCATGGGACCTGGATCTCCCTGAAATGAGAACAGTAGTTATTAGTATCTGTGATATATAATATCCTGTGCCAGAAATTAAAATATAGCATTTTCCTTGAACTCACTTTGAACCACATAGTTCTGCCATTGTGGTCCCGGATGGATTTCATTCCATCGACGTAGTAACACTGCAGCCACGCCTCAAAGTCAGAATAGTCTGCCTTCTCTGGATCATATCCCTTTCCACCTGAGTCATAAAATGTGTTGAAAACAGGAGGCATTTCACAGGAAAAAGAAATTGTGTTATCTTTGAATAAGACAGCAATAATATGTATTTCGCTCAAAATGAAAGCTATCAGAATCTTTGAAAGTACAGTAAGCAAAAAAAAACCCACCTAGGCTCACCACCTCCAGAGGTACTGTATGACACAGCCTCAGCAGGTCCCCCGTCTCCTCTTTCACCCTCTTCTGTTTAGCTCTGTCAGAGTGCTTAGTAAAGAAAGGCACTGTTAAAAAATGCAAAGCAGTGAGGGTTGAGCGTCTGATCTGAAAAATGTCTGGGTTCTTTCACCTTTTTTTCTGTATTCTCTTTTTTCACAGGCTTCTCACTTTCACATAAATCTTCTGAATCAAGGCCTTCAAGGGTAGTCCTGGCAGCCACAAAGGGTGGGATGTTCAACCTATCAAAAGATACAAGATACTAAAAAGACCCATTCTTCTGAAAAAAGAAGAAGGCTTTTTTGTTTTCAAAGTGTTTCTGAATCATTAATCCTCCTCGCAGGCAGAACACAGTACAAACCTTAAGAAATGAAAGAAAGCTATTCATTTCATATCTGAGGGAAAGAGGCCTTGAAACAGAGAGCTGAAACTGTCAACACATTTAACAATGCAAAACATGGAGAGACTCTCACGGGACAGATCCTAGTCGTCTTGTTTCTGTTTTGTTTCTTTTAAAATGTGTACAGATCTATGGTAAATCGAGACCTGTCAGGACCAGGCTTTGCACGCTGTGTATGTGCCTTTCATGTGTTTTCTTTCACCTTTAGTTTTTTGAAACCACTAGTTACTTCTAGCATGGCACTGCATACGTACACTAGCCATATGAGAACATCTACAGAAATACAGTATCTGTTGACTTATTATTAAGTAAATACCGTAGTAATGATTAGGGTGCACTGATCCACTGACTTTTTCCCCTCCCAATGATGGGATGATACCATTGCTTTCTTTTCAAATATGAACTCTGTATACCTCACTGCCTGGAACTCCTTGGGGTTATTTCTATGAAAGGAAACATGAGGCCGTTGCTTGCTTTGGCACTGAAAACAGAGTCAGCAGCTTGCTGTCACTGAATGGATGTAACTTCTAGAGGAAACATTGAATTTTATACTATCATTAAAGAAGAAACTGCATTTAATTAGAGCTGAAAGAATTATATGATTGAAAATTAACTGGCAACCATTTTGATAAACGATTAATTGTTTTTGAGACTTGTCAAACACTCTTCTTCTCAAATGTAAAGATGTCTTTAGCTTTTTTCTGTTTTATTCAATGGCAAACTTAATATTTTGGGGTTTTAGAATGTTGGTCTCCAATTTATGATGTTTTATAGATAATTTAAAAAAAATCAGCAGATGAATCCATAATTAAAATAATTGATTGTTGCAGCTCTATATTTTAAGCGGATCATCATGTCATGGATGATACCTAATCCACATGCAGTAATAAGGGCGGTATCTGTGCCTCCCTGCTACTTAACTGTATAATGTGTCATTTGAATAGTTGAGGGTTTGTGCATGTTTGTCACCTGAAAAGTATTTCGGCCCTCAGGTAGTTCCCGATACCGTTGAAGTACTTCTGATTGAGCAGAACTTCACAGATAGGTCTATCAAAGGCGCGGTCAGAGAGGTGGGACACAACGTTCTCCCTGCAAAATGATAAACTGGTCAGTGATAGGGTGAGGATTTGGTTGAGCGGGTGACACATCTGACATTCAGCATTACAAACCTGAAGCTTTTGTACTCAAACATGACACAGGGCCCTCGGCTAGACTGCCAGGTCCCACTGGGCTGCCAGCTGCCAAACCTGCGTACATCCACAAAGCTCAGCACTCTGCAGGGCTTCTCTTTGGAATAAAAACGTAGGTGGGAGTGTTTGGGCAGCTCATCCTCTGTGGTGAAGCGGAAATTACCAGACATCCCAAAGCGAAAGACTATATCCATGGGCTGGTCTGCCTGTCCTGTCTTCAACCTCTGTTTTGTATCATCACTCTTTATGGGTGTCAGCGTGAGTTTCACTTCCTTCCCTCTGGAAGTAGCTGTGATCCGATAGGCCTCACAGGTGAAGGGCACATCGGGACTCTTGCTGACATCGGATTTTTTTACGGGTCCAGTAAAAACCACTCCATTGCACATTTTGTTTACGTACAGGCTGGCCAGGTGGAGCTCTGGTCCCTCAGGCATTTTGTCGGAACAAATGAAGCTGTGCTGCAACTGCAGAGAATAACGTGGTTGAGCAAACATTACACCACCAAGGGCTTTAAAAGACAGTGAGGATGTATGTCTTCATGTCTTAATACAGCCTTTAAACACTCAATATATTTACATTTGACTGGTTTTAGGTCAACAAAATAATATATTTGCAATTTTACATTCTTAGATTGCTTTGAAGCAGCATGCAGGCCTTAATGTTGGAAAATGTTACTAATAACAGTTAACCAAATGAATAAAACATGAAATACAAAAGACAGTGATTTATGTTCATGTTTTTCCAAACAGTGGTGGTATTGTGTGTTGGGCAGACTTGTAACCTCAGTGTTTCGGTTCCTGAAAGCACCACTGCACAGCCTCAGACACAACAAGCATCCTACCACAACACCAGAATCAGACCTACAACACTACACCACATCATCATCGTCATTCATAGACTACACAATATGACCAATCATGCATTTCCTGTGTATTCAACCAGTCTGAACAACACATTATGTTTCTGCACTGCATAACAAGGGGGAAAAAATAGTGATAGGTACACCACTAAGTACAGAGTTTCCTGGAGTTGAAACCGAGGTACCGAGGAACAAATGAGGAAATAGACCTCACCAGTTATAAACTTGTCACGATCGCAGACTTCAGCTGAAATCCCCAACACAGTTTGCCGGTCCCCCCACTCTCTGCAGGGCTGCCACGAGGAGTAGGTATGGCACTAAACACAATGCTTTCACAACATGCATGTTACTAAACATGTTGTGTAACGTTTTTTGTTTATACGGAAACGTCGCGAGATTTCAGGCCTCACCACGTTCGTCATCCACAACTTCGTATATTACTGATGTGAGCGGATGTTTTTCTCATGTTTTCCAACAATTCCTTGAAAACTATAGGGTAACAATTAAATGGAGCTTTTCTAGCAGACGCATTGTAAATCACTACATAAGCAAACAGCCAGAGGCATGCTGGGATATGTAGGCGTTGCGGGAAAAACCGACCAAGGATTGAAACATCTCTGTTTTAGACTTTATTTTGTCATGTGCATATGAAGGTAAAACACAAATTATCAACATGATTCAAAATGTGAGAATCATTATATACAATATTTTACAAAAATGGTCCATTTCTTGTTTCAGTGAGGAATCACACCGTCTGGAAACAGCTCCACCAATTATTGCTGATGTGGTAGAAAATAAACTTTCAGTCAATCTAACTAAGGACTGAGCCATTCACATGACCTTTGAGATAACTAAGTTCATACAAAAATTAAACTGTACAAGATGTAAGTATGGCACTTTTGGCAGCCATCAGCTTTGTTTGTGTCCGACTTCATTGTTCACTCTTTACTGCAGTGCATTCATCATAGCCTGGGCCTGCTTGAGCTCTGTGGAAACACAGATAGGAAAACAATTAACACAACATAATTGTGGCTAATACAATTGTGTGAAATAAAAGAATGGTGAGAAAAAAAAAACAGGGGGTTAAGATGCGGAACTAACCTGCAAGCAAGACTCTGAACTTGTCAGCAGAAACAGAAACAACTGTTGTCTCTGCAGAGTCTGACTCTGCTCCCTTTGTCTGCAGTTTAAGCTGAATCACAGGTTCATTAACCTCTCTCAGCTCACTCGAACTCAGAGTGTAGTCGACCCGCCAGGACACAGCATCCAGCCCTCCCACTGAAATTCAATGCAGAGCAGAATTGAGAACACCCTTAAGTTAGCAACTTCTCAGAAGAGTCATCAGTTATATTCGCCATCCTATTTTAGAAAAGGACAAGACAGGCAGAAATACTTACGTCTCAGGCTCGTCTCTCTTAGTCTGTCTTGCAGTACAGAGTGCTTGTCTTCATATGATTTGCAAAGCCCTGTTGTGTGTTCTAAAAGAATGGATGTGTGTGAATAAAAAAAACAAGATTTATTTCAAGTGCAGTCTTAAGCTGGTGAAAAGTCAGCTGCAACTGTTACTATTAATGCACCAAAGTCACAATGCACCACACCACTGACAATGAAACAATGCAGTAAGCTCCAACAATAACCCAAAAGGCTGTGACTTGACCCGAATGTCTCCAGAAATGAGGAAGTGTTTGTGTCATGACCTATGATGCTTTTTAAGGCTCATATCCTGGGCACAGTTTAATATTTGAAACAGTGTGCAAATGTTCCAAATATATTATTCTGTATTGAGGAGTCCTCGGTTGTCTAAGGGCCCTGTGTGTCTTCCCCACAAGCTCTAGTTAATGCAGACACTTCCCATTAAATATTACACACAGTCAAGCAGTCTACTCTTGGCAGAGGTCTGTGCATGTGTGACTAAAGATAATGTGACATAATCTTAATTTGTATATCAGATATGGGGAACCCCAGTGGACTAACCTTTAGGCAGACCGAGCTGCTGCAGCTCACTGGACAATGACTCACTGTCAACATCGTGCTTTGCTGCACTGGAGAAAATGAAGCTGAGCACTGCCACACTAGCTTTGATGTCTCCGCTCTCTGCAAGATGGATTAAAGTCATGAATGTATGTATGTTATATAACACAACAGTGCAATGCAAGTATGAGAATATAATAGTGGGTATATGAGCAGTACAGTAGTACATCTGCAGTACATTTTACTGCACTACATTCACTTGAAAGCCACAATTATGCTGCAGAAAAAACGATACATTGTTGTAGATTTAAGTACCAACTTGACCAACCACAAGCATAAAATGCTGCTAACACATAAAAACATTAGTAATAATAATCTTTATTGGTTTATTATGTTATAATATAACACCCACAGGTGCAGTTTTTCTCCATAACCAGTATTTTACTTTTGACACTTTAAGTTTTTCTACTAATACTTATGCACTTCTAATTAATAAATCACTCAATTTAGTCCCTTTATTTGTAATGTGTATTGCGGCGTTTTTACTTTACTACTAAGTACCAGTATGAGGAAGACTTACCAAACTTTGCATCTGCAGTGAGCTTTGCAACCTTGTCATACTACAAAAAAAGAAGAGAGAAGACAGCACTGAGTGTGTGTGAATATTGTATATAACGATAAATGAGTGATTATGTATGCAATCTCTTACATCAATGCCTTCCCCAAGCAAGTCCTTCAGCACTTGACCACAGAGGAGTTTCATTTTGACACTTGACTGTTACATTAATGAGGCAGAAGACACACGTATTAGTATTTACAAACCACAATGTTGCTTTATTGTTTAAGTGCTGGACCTTTATAATTACTTACAATCTTCGCCAAAGTGCTAATTTCGGCAAGTACCCAATCTGGGCAGTCCAAATCTCCACAGAAACGGAACCGCTGCAACAGACAGACATCACCTGAGTGTTATTCACTGTAATATAACATTTTAATTGAATATAACAACAGTCAGCCCTGCTAGCACTGACGTTAGCTACTCATCATCAACTTTACTGACTAGCTTCGCCTGCTAGCTCCCTAAAAGCCGGACCAGACATCGATAGCAGGAGGTAAGTAATAGCCTGTGACATTTCTACATCATTTAAAGGAAACTTCCTGCAGATAAACCTGCTTCTACATGAGCATAACAGAGTTAAATAGTACGTTTAATGGCAGTGTTTACCATGGTTGTCAGTCAGCTGAGCGGTTGCAGAGGGAGAACGGAACAGGAAGAGGTTTCTGCTTCCTCGCATCTGATTGGACGAGAGGGGAGGAGAGGGGCGGGGCGCTGCTCCTCAGAGGTCCTGTCAATCAGGGCTGCTTCTCCTAATGACTTTACATCTATATGTCCACAACAACAACAACTAAAAAAAAAAGATACATTACTTGTGTGTCAGGGATATCAGCTGTAAAACATGGATTATGCTGCTCTGTCTGTGATTGGTGT